CAGGACAGCTCTGTAGTAAGCTGCTAGGTTTTACTCTGCTGCACTATGAAAGTGCACCTTTCCTCAACTAGTCCAGGCAGTGTGTGTGGCTTGGAGAATAGAGGCCAAAATATGAAGCTCAACAGTGATGGTTAGTGCATTGTAAAGTGAAGTGGAAGCTGAAGCAGGAAATTGTTTATATGCTTCCTAACCTCCAGCACTGAGCCTGCACTGCCAGGCTGTTCCGTGCTTGCTGTAATTTGGTTACTGTATCCCACCATGTGAAACCCCATTCTTGTTATCCAAAGAATACTTACAATGTTTTGCTTTCACTAATCTGTCATAAACCCATTTTGTCATGTTCCCATTCCTCAGTGACAATCTCATGGCAAGAAACTCCCATTGCATTTCTGCAGTCACTACAAAGTCAGTATTGATGTGGGGCTTTTTATGTCTCCCAGAACACTCCTCTGAATCTTTCCTGTTGATTTCCTGCAAATTTTTGTTAGAGTTCAGGAGTAGACTTCCTCTTGCCATCATCACATCTTCACCATGGTACTACTATAGCTGATTTTCTCTGTTCCTTAATACATCTAAACCAGTGAGTATTTCAGTGTTGGATTAACATTTGTCAAACTGATGCTGTTATAACCCCATGTGATATGTGCCTGCTGCAGATCTCAGAAGTATGCCAGGTTGAATACTATGATGAGGAGGAGCAGATTCCTGAGTGAATCAGCTGTCCTTGCTGCAAAGATCGCACTGTTTATGAAGGAGAGGTGTCAGGTGTGTGAGGCAGTGACACGTGCATTGGCTGGCAAAATGCAGGTGTTGAGATGGTGCAAAGTGTCTGAGGGAACTGTAGTATTTCAAGAAAAGGATAAACACAAATTTAATAGTTTTCTCTGGCAGGAGAGTTGAGAAGATGAGAATGGAGAAAGCTCTCCTGAATTTATCTAAAGTAAATCTTAAGCAACCACATGAGAATTTTCTTTGGTATAGAGAAACCCAGTGAGACTAGGAAAGTCTGTTCTCAATCCTTAATTATCATAGAATCATAGAATGGTTAGGGTTGGAAGGGACCTTAAAGATGATCTAGTTCCAACCCCCTGGCCACAGGCAGTGACACCTTCCACTAGACCAGGTTGCTCAAAGCCTCATCCAACCTGACCCTGAACGCATCCAGGGATGAGGCATCCAGAACTTCTCTGGGCAACCCGTTCCCTGTTTGGGTCAAGAAGTCAAAGGATGTCACTGGTGGACAGCACATTAAAATTTCTTTAGTTGGTGAGCAGAGATTTGGAACATGCTGTGCTGTCGCCAGTGCTTAAGGTGTGTATGAACAGAAGATAGGAGCAGACTTTCTAAAAAGCTGGGGTAATGTTTAAAAGGGTAAAAAACAACAGCTTGGTAGGAAGCTATGTGCAGACAGCATTCTGCAAGGACAATGTCAAATGAAAGCTCAGTGAGGAAGAAGAGCTGACATTACAAACAGAAGTTAAGGCTACGATTGTGAATCTGATACGCAACATGGTACTGAATGTGAGATGGAAGGTACTATGTCTGTATGCAAGGAGCAGAAACTTTTATTTATGGAGTATCTGCAAGGTTCCCCTTTTCTCCTCCTCATGCTCCCATCAGGAAGCTCCTTGAAAGTAGTTAAGTAATGACAGCTTTTTCAAACACTTGTGATAATCTTGAAGTGGACTCCAAGCAAAGAATGACTGAAAACTGAGCCATGTTGTTTTGATTGTGTGCTTGAAAAAGAAAATCGGAAAAAATAGAATACAGTCATACACAGAGCAAGCAGCATGTAAGATCCTTGTACTTAAAAAATAGTTATGACATTTGTTTTATGTTGTGCTGATAAGGCAAATGCAGCTGTATATGTTGCCATCTGTTGTTTCTCTTCAAGGGGAGGTGTTAAAAAAAATTCTCTAATGTTGTTTGAGGTTGAAATGTAAATCTGAGTTGTGCCATGGAAACCAAAGGTTTACCCAGCTGATGGTCAGTCTTATTGTAACAGTTACCGGCTGTGACTGAAAATAATAAGTACAGAAGATTAACTGTGAATATGCTTTAAAAAACTCAACAAACCAAAAGCCAACTCATGATGGCAGAGCTTATAGGCTTAAGCTAGTACAGAGAAATCGGAGAATTAGGAGTGACCAGAGCAATTAGAGACTGGAGCTGCAGTTTGAGAGGTCAGTGAGAGGTCCCTGCAGTAAAACATTTGAAACAGATTAGATACTGCAGGGAGAGAGATAGTTGAACCTGTCCTATGTTAAGGGGCTTTTCCTTAATGATGTGTTGGGGGCCTCTCGACTCCTAAGATAACAAGAGAATAAACCACAACCTATCCTCTTATCTTTGCATATGCTAAAACTGAAGGTCTTCAGGCTAGCAATCATCTAATTAAAACTAATATGCCAATATTTTCTGTGTTTTCCAGTCTTTGTCGGTTTCAGAAGAGGGGAAATTCCAAAATTTCAGAAAACTTTTAAATTTTATTCACTTTTTTCTCCTGGGTGTACCTTGAGGATAGCACATTAATCATACCTATATTTTCAATGTCACCAGCTGACTGCAGGCTAGTTCCATTTCATGACGATGCCAACATTGCATTTATGTATGTGTTTCTAATTCATGCACTGTCACGGAGGTCAAGACACCTTCCCAGTTGTCAAAACCTCTATCATCATCCGAGTCCAACAGCAGTCTTGAACATCTGTGTGTACTGAGTCGTTTTGTTGTAGTGGTTGGGTGGCACTGTTAACGTGAAACAATCCTCTTGTCCTTGTGATTCTCATGACTTTTGTAGCTGTTATCACCAGGATAGCTGTGGTAAAATTTTAACTTTAAGGACACGAGTGGCTAAAACAGGGCAAGCTTCTAAGGTTTGAAGTTGTGTGCCATTACAGGAAGAAAATCTAGTATAAAAAGAACAATTTTATTAAAAAAAAAATATTAGGGAAAAAACTTCTGTTGTGGTTTTTTTTTTCTCTGCTTAATCTTCAGGATTGTACACATAAGATGATATAGCAAATCAACTTTAAAACATAAAGCAGCGGGGGAGATTATTATTTTATCATGGGTTTCTGTTTGCTTCTAGATAAAGCAAACAGATTTGAGCGTTGTCTGTCTCAGATTTTTGATTCAAGATCAACTTATTATCTTTCCGTGGATCAGTGTGACTGTTAGTTTGCGTGAATGAAATCAGTAGCGCTTACTGGCCTCTGCTTGGAAAGCCCATCCTCACGTTCATTACACGACCTCTGAAATACACGCGTTTCGAAGCGTGGTGCGTACCAAGCGTGGGGCCTCTGAGTGTCATACAACATATTACTTGACAAGCAGTGTGTTGCAGATGCAGCGTTACGAAATAAGCAAGGAGAATGTTTTTACTTTGTAATGCAATAGAACTTCTCTTGATTCCTTCCTTCTATAAATGTTGCTATGGGTTTTTTTGTTTCACTTGGAAAAAGGTGTTGTGAGTGTGCTGCATACTTGCCTGGTGAAAACTAGTTCTGTAATATGTGATCTTTGTTGATAAGAATTGACAGTGTAGTCATTTGACTCATGATTTGGTGGCAACTGCAAACAATTATCTGTAGCAATTTTAGGAATGGTATCTGCATGATATGCTGTTTTGTTAGGTATTAGTAGATTAATCTCTCTTGTTTTCTCTCTCAGGTTTCCATTTTGGATGCAAAAAGAAGTATGAACATTGGGATATTTCTCAAACAGTTCAAAAAGTAAGATTTGATTTTTCCATGCAGCTGGTGCAAGCTACAGATGTATGAAATTCTTTGTAGTTCTCATCAAATGTAGTGTATGTTGTGCTCTGTTCCTTGTGGATTTTACAGTTCTGTACAAGCTTGTCATAAGTAACTACATTTCATAATTTGTGTTCTAATATGTTTAGTTTTGAGTGCCATTATGACTTAGCAGTAAACATTCAGAGTTCACTACTGTTAAACCAGTTGAAGTGAGTTTTCAGATATAGTAAAGGGAAACCCTTATATCTCGTATAATACTTCATGAGAGCTGCTTTTCATTGTCTGTCTGTCTTTATAAAGAATTAATACAGAGGGGTGAGGTGAGGATTTTTTTTTTGAGAGCAAGTGGATTCAATGCTATCTTTTTTCACTGATAATGTTGTCCTTCAGTAAAGGCATCACTGAAAGTGTTAGAACAGTCCTGCTGTGGGCACTGATACATAACCTCATTCTAACTCCTTTGAGTAGCCCAGGCATGTTTTTTTTTTTCAATTTATGCAACTATTCGCCCTGCAAGTGTTAGAAATGTGTATGCTCGATTGTTTTTTTTCAAGGTCTGCTGAATCCATCATTGAAGATATTTATCATGGAAGAAGTGAGCCCTATGGTTCTGAACTGCTGCATGAATTTCTTAAATTATTACCAGAAGCAGAGGAGGTAAATAATGGTTTTACATGGAACTTACTTTTTTGTAGAGTTCTACTGCCTGGGATTCCAGCATCAAGATCTGTAAAAGAGGAATCTCAAAGCCTTTCTGAGGTCAGGGAATAGGAAACCACTGGATGCAAAGGTTTCATCTTCATTTGACATGTGGTATTGAGGTTACAGTGTTGTCGTTCCCTTCACATCACATAATTTTACCTGCTTTTAAGGTGCTTCTTAATTAAGGTAATGATAAGGTATTTTTGTTTCTCTGATGGCCATTATGATGTCCCTTTTGTCCCATAAACATTTTACCAAGACCTGGAACCCTTCTGCTTGCAGTGTAGATAACTCTCCTCTGGCGGGTCAGAAAACTGAGAATCAAAGTATATCCTAATATAAACAAATTTAAGTTTCACTTCTTTGGCACCTGCCTCATGCTTTCACATTGCAGTGCCTGCAAGTTGAATATTGGTAGCCCTGTGCTACTGTTTCTTCTCCTTTCTGGTTTGCTAGCTGCTTGGTGTGTCTGGGATCTGTCTGCTCCTGGGCCTGCGCCATTGGGTTCCAACAAGGCAGAAAGGCTATTCTGCTGTGCAGCACCCACAGAATTTGCTAACATGGCTTAATGCTACAAAGGAGATGTGTTGGAAGGCACAGAGTGATCAGCAGCACCTTCTGCCATGTCCCAGTGCTCACCATATGACCAACATGCAGGTGCTGCTTTCTCCCCTCCCAGTCCCAACCTTCAAGTCCATTCGCATGATTAAAGCTGAGTGAAGCTTCATTGACTGACCTGGGAGCCCTGCTTAATGATGCACAGTTCCTTGTCTGCTCAGGTATTTGCACTGACCCATTTGTATGTACTTGAGAGAAATATATACCACAGACTTGACAAAATTAACATTAGAACTGCTTGAGTGCTTCACATCAAAGCCATGGCTGAAACCTGGGAAATTGCTAGTTAACGTCCACATATAGATCAACTTCAACTGGCATACTTTACCACTTCAAGGTCATACTGTCAAAGCACTCTGTTTCCTCTGTGCAGCAGCAAATCTCAGATCCAGTTGTATAATTTTGCTGTCAAATATATAACCCTAAATTGGGCTGCTTTTGCAGGCAATCTTCTAAAAACTATGTTATGTTATTATACTTAGTGTATTTTTTAGGATTGGGGAATATCAACAAGTTGAAACGTAATTACTCTGAAAAAAAGAGGTGACAGTAGTTCTGGGTGCTCAGAACTATTCCCCCTTCCTTCTTTGTTTGAATTTCAGTATATATTCCTGTATTTACATGGAATGTATCTCCTTCTTCTGAGAGTCAGAGGAGAACCGTGAAGTACTAACTTAAAAGAAAGTGACTACTTCTAGTTAACGTTGTATATAGTCAGCAGATTAGACTGAAAGAAAGGTATTTTTTCTTCTTCTCCTCTTTCTGATGTAGATCTTGGTTGTTATTTTACCACAAGTAGAAAATGTTTCAAATAGCATACTCCTATGTGGTATAAATGTTATAATTCCACTAGAATTGTAATCTAGGTTGTTGAATTTTATCTTTTGGTGCATGACAGTAGTGAAAACGTGCCCTACTGCTAACTATGGGTAGGTGATGTGTGGTTTCTGCATCCACAGGAGATGGTCTGCAATACTCAGCTAGATACTTTAGATATCCAGTAGGTGCTGCTAAGAGTGAAAAAGTATGTTTATTTCCTAGTAGATGATTTGACAACAGGCCTGCCCCTCAAGATAATTGGGCCAGAGCACTGAAGAAGTGTTTTTAAGAAAGCAATTGAGAAATTAACAAAAAAGACATTATGATGCAGAGGTGTGTTAGAAATTAAGGTGTGTTAGTCATTGTATTTGTTGGTATTTCCAAGAGAAAGCTGGAAAGGGGCTTGTCCCCAGCTTGCAGGTGTTTGTATGTATTTAATTAGTTCCATGCTTCAGAGATCTCGTTGCTCAACATCAGGAAAAGTAAAGACCCCCTTTCCCTTTGTTATTCTCCCTGTGATTGTTTCACTACTTGGAAAGTTTCCCCACTTCCTGGGAAGCACCAGAGCAAGAGCTGGAGTGGGGGCATAGGACAGGGAGAAGATCCTGAGTGTGAAGGACTGATGCTTCTGCTGGCATGGAAAAATGTTTCCGTGCCTTCATGTCCTCACGCTTCAAGTGTTCAAAGAATAAGTGGGTCCAATAACTCATTTACTGCTGTGGCTCCTAAAATTTTAGTGTAGTCAGTTAAAAAATTTGTTCCCTTTAGGAGCCTCAGAGCTTTTATTGTTTGTCTTTCTCAGCATTTTTTTCCCCTAAATGTATGTTCATTGTTCTCCTTGTATGCCTCCGTGTTTATGGTCTGCCTCCTAGTCAGAATACCCATCTTCTGGAATACTGGTTCGTTGTTTGCTAAGGGGAAGCCATCAGAACTATGCAGTCCCTCCCCACAATCCTCCAAAATCACTGGAGATAATCAGATGAAGAGGTGTTCCTTGTTCTGCTGTTCCCTATTCTATTTAATAGCCTCCGACTTCTTTTTCATCTGGTGGTTGTATCACATGAGGTAGCTTTGGTAAGGTGTCATCTCATTGGCCTGTCCCTGCAGAATGTTGAGCCTGACCTCAGCAGGGGTTACCTGGGACTACCCTTAGATACTTCCCATTCTTCCAAAGACTTGTTTTGATGTTGCAGGGTTTGAGAATTACTCTGAGCAGAGACTTCAGCAGTAGGATCCTAAATGATTAGTTGTTACTCGGTTACCAGTGCTAACTGTTATAACCGTGGGTGGGCTTCTGCAGTTCCCCTTTGTATACTCTTCTTTTCAGCAGCTCAGCTATTTACAGTCACATTTCCCTACTAGTAGCACAGCTCTCTTGGAGTTTGGAATGAGAGCCACATACCCCCTGCCAGGCGTGTGCTCCACCCCAATAACTGTGTTTGGAGATGTCTTCTACTTTTTCTTTTGTATGGTACCATAAATACTTAGTCTGTAAAAGTGAAAGGAGGGAGAGAGGAACACCGTTCCTGGTCATGGCTGTAGAAAGGGCAACTCCGAACTGTCACGTTTCTTCTTTTTTGCCAACATCTTTTACAGTTTATCTAGTGTCAATAAACACTGACTGTATACTCTAATCTTATCTTATCTAGGAGCGCTGTGATATATATAGTCACATTACCTCAATGTTCCCTTGGTCACCGATTTGACATGTGTGACATTTTACATCATTTCAGTCCATATTGTCTCAGGCACCTGATACATGTTCCAGCATCTTTAATGCTTTAAAAGGGAAATGGCCTTAAACTGAAAGAGGGCAGATTTAGATTAGATATAAGGAAGAAATTTTTCACTCTGAGGGTGGTGAGGCACTGGAACAGATTGTTCAGGGAAGTTGTAGATGCTGCATCCCTGGAAGTGTTCAAGGCCAGGTTGGATGAGGCTTTGGGCAACCTGGTGTAGTGGAGGGTTTCCCTGCCCATGGCAGGGGGGTTGGAACTAGATGATCTTTGAGGTCCCTTCCAACCCAAACCATTCTATGATTCTATGATCTTCAAGAGGTAACAGTTTTTTGACAATGGAGGCTAAGTTTTCGGACTAACAAATACAATTAACATCTGTTGTGTTTAAAATTATTCTTTCTTTTTGCAGTATTGTAATGTGGCAACTCTGTTTATATGCAGAAATAGGTGTCAGTACTAGTAATTTTCTATGAAAAATCCCAACAGCTGTAATAGCTGTTGGGATTTTTGTGTATAAATGGCAAATCTGTCTCTTTGAATATTTTTGTCAAACTGAATAAGATGATTATTGAAATATTGGCACTGCTGTGAAGTCTTTCATCAAACTGAAAACGTTTGGGTATTTTCAAATGTTTAAGTTGAAAAACTTCACAAGTTCTTGAAGCTAGCAAACTTAGAGCTACGTGCAAGGTTCCACTCAATGTTTTGTTCAGTGCTGTGGACATCATACAGTGGTTATAACAAAAAAAAAAAAGACCAAGAAAAGGTATAAAAATTCTCAACACATTAACAAGTAAGAGATGATGACTGATTTTGTGTAAGCGTTGCTAGAAGTCCTGCTGTTTGTACCTCGCTGTGGTAACCAGTTTGTAAGAGGAAGAAATGCCTATTTGGAATCTCCTCTGCTTCATCCCTTTTGCAGCTCATGCTCATGCTTACACAAATTTTCTTGGCTGAAGCAAAGGCCTTCTCTGCTGTATCACTTCTAAAAAGATTCCTAGCTGTTTCTTAACAGTATCCTGTTAAAATGGCTGACAGCTATCATTTACTGGCATCCTGACCAAAGCAGAGGAGAAGCTTTTAGGTGCTTTTATGTGCGTATCATTGCACTCTTCAGCAGGCCCAGACTGGTAAAAGCTGAGAGAGTCCAGTGTTTAACGAGCTAGAATAGCCAGAATTTGTACTTTAAATATATACAGAAGAGAGCATATCATACTGATAATCAGCTCACCCACACACATGCACACCCAGGTTATCAACACAATGTCTGAGCATCCTTTGTAATATCTCAAGCCTGTCCTTTGCTCATATACTCTGTTTTAAAACCCTAGTCATCTGTCACCTGCTTTACTGGAATTGTTTCTGTCTGTCAGCTAGACCCTGTTCAAACCATGTCTGTGTCGTTAACTGCCCCCTCTTTTCCTCAGCCAGTGCTGGCCATCCTTCGTAGCTTTCATCTCCTGCTTCCTTTTTTGTCCCTTATGATAGCTGCAGGTTTTTCTCCTTTTTATCATTTGCTGATAGAGGTTTGCCACAGCCCAGGCATGTGCCCCATGGTGCCTCTCCACCTAATACATCAGCTGCTTTCCCATGTGCCCTTGTAGTTGGATTCCACTGTGATGCCTTTTGGGGTTTTGGTATTTTTTAACTCTGTTTTTCTTTAGTGCCCTGAATGTTTGTAATTATATGAAAATGTTAAAGAGAACCCAGAAAATGTTTCCTCCTCTGGACTATTGTACTTGGCTTTACATATTTATTTGTAACATGAGGAATTTTTGACTTATTTGATCAGAATGTGGGGAAATACTTAGTTACAAGCATATATGAGGATGAGTGGTTTACTGATTTATACTCTTCAAGGATCCCACATAGGAGTGCAACATAACTGTTTTACGCCATGAAGTAAAATCCCAATAATTGTAAATAAGTGCTCCTGGTAGCTCAAAAATGACTGAAAACTTGAGTGACAGGAATGCAGTAGCTTACCTATCTGTGAGAAATAACGAGATGCTTGCAATAGATGTACCTACTCCAATTGTTCACAAATCAAATCAAAGATCAGGCTCTTTCATAACTGTTTCTAAAATGAAGCAAATTACATATGTGAGAACCTTGTGTATCTAAAATCTGATGTAGTGTGCATGGGCTGCTTGTACAGTGCAAATGCATATTCTGTATACAAATATAATGAAAAATTAAATCAGTAACTCTGTGTCCAATTTGAGTAATACAGAACTGAGAATACATGTAATTATGCTCTTTTGCATGTATACATTACACTGTCATGTCTTGGTACATGGCTGTATACTGTTGCAAAAAGATGTTGTTGTGCTTGAAGAGAGGAGATCAAGGCCAGAACTCAGAGTTGTTCATTGTGATCTTAAAATAAACCATGTTTTTTTAGCTCTTTTGTGTTCTCAGACTGATTATAAATCTATCTACTGTATCTGTTAACATGATTAATAGTGAACATTGTTGTCAGTCACCATAGTTTCTTTGTAGTTCCTGGCTGCATTTGGTATTTGAGTTTGACCTCCACTTCTAGGAGCCATCAGAGAATCTCAGTTCTCATTGGGAAGACTTGGACAACATGGCCGCAGAGAAAAGAGGCCAATCCCATGGGCTTTTGAGTAGCCTCCCTTGGAACATGTAGGAGCAGCCATCCAAAGTGTGTTACAGTAATTTTTAGCTTTAAGGTTCAGAAGCTGTTCTTTTAGTTTATAGGTAATGTCAATTAAGTCAAATAACATGTTTTTTTTTTTACCCCTGCTTCATGGCGAGATAACTGGTCTTTTTCAATTATGAAATTTGAAGTCAAATAACATGGTTTTTTTTTACCCCTGCTTCATGGTGAGATAACTGGTCTTTTTCAATTATGAAATTTGTAATAAAGAGGGAACATAAAATTGTTGTCCTAACTTTACCTTAGCTATTCCCCATACTATTTATTGTTTTAAGGCCGAGTTAACAGAGGATTTAGTCTCCTGTTTCGAAAACTTAGACATATATGGAGAACCAGGCTGTCCTGGGAACAGGCTATGCTGTGCTGAATTCCAGGATGAAAAGGACCTTATAACTCTTTCACATTTCTGTTTTGTCTGTTTGTGGAAAGGGTCACTATCCTCCACCTTGCCTGGGTTTTGGGCTTGTCAGGTGAGCTTCTTTGCCTCTTCTTACAAAGGTTGTTTTGGACAAAGGCAAAACCAGTGGGGGTTAAGATGGCTTGGAAGGAGTGTAAATGGGTGGTGAGCACATCTTTATTTTAAGGCTGATTACACAGACTGTCTTGAGTTGACTACTGCCCGAAGTTTTTTGTATTGTGACATCCACACCCCATCCTACCTATCAGAAGGCAGCCTCATCAATGTCTTCTGTTGTGCATGTATAGGAAAGTTCCTCCTCTGGATGAATTTTAGAATTCAGTACTCCCTTGTACTCCAGGCATTTTTCCTAATATAATAGAGTAGAAGAAAGAGGATTTAATCCAATGTCTGTAAAATGCTTTGAAAAGTTCAACACTTGAGAAACAAAATTCACATTGCAGCATTAACATTCTATATAGATAACATTGATTGCTACTTACTGTCAAAAGTATATTTAAATATAGTACAGGTAGCATGAATAAGTTAATATTCCTGTGAGTATTTCAGAATCTCTTGTTCTTTTCTTTTTGTGCATTTAAATCTTAAAATTGGATCTTCCTATAATTGCCTGTGGTTTATATAATCTTGATTTTGGTGATTTGGGATGGGATTTTTTTGGTGGGCTGCTTTCCTTCTCCTCCCCTCTTCCCCCTGAAAATCTGAATGCCTGTATCCTTTTATCCTGGCAAACTTTGATATTTGCAACATACTAAAATGAGTTTGGAGAATTTGCAATTTTTGTTGTTTAGGTTGCAGACCACCATTTTTTGGAAGCTAGGTTAAAGAATACCTGCAAAGACTAACTGAGATAGTAGATGTTACCCACCCCCACTTTGTGATGTAGGAAAAAGTGTTTATTTTGGTTTTGTTTCTTGCTTCTTTAACACCTTAGAAATATCAGGAATGTCAAGTCTGGTCTTTCCTGGGTTTTGTTGGCAAACTTCTTGATTGACTCTGTAAATTAGGAGTTTTCTCTGGCCTCAGAAAAGATGACTATGCTGTTTATCTTTAGAAGCAACTTTTGTCTGAGTGTCTTGAGTTAAATGGAGAGGGGTGGTGGTGTTAGGAAATGGCGTTAGATAGCCTGATTAAAAATTGCTTTTGATTAGAATTCTCTTTCTTGGTGATAAGTTTTTGTTGGGTGTTTGGTTTTGAGTGTTTGGTTTTTTTTAAAAAAAATCGAAAAGGCAGTTTTTTCTATTCTGGGTTTGGTTTGTAATTTCTGATTTTCGTCATGTGCTCTCAACATTTCTATTTTTTTATGGTATGCAAAATGAATGGGAATAAAGCAGAACAAAGCTGTTAAAAGAATCCTTTTCTTCTGCTAGTTCAGAATTTATTTTAAATCCCTGCTTTAGCATAGCATATATTGTCTTCCACTACAAATCAGTTACCTTTTTTTTTTTAACTGTGAAAGCAGAAAAATGACTTACGTGTCATTTCTTAAGAGTAATTTGAAGCCTGATGCTTTAAAAAAAACTGTGGATATCTTGCTAAATTTTGGCAACCTGAAAACTGTTGATGCACTGATGTAGTGTGCCTCTCTTCAGGATAGCTTAATATGCTTGCTAAAACCATCTGTTTAAGTGTGGTTATGAATGGACTTTAAGTGTAAGGTTGTAAAAAGGAAGGATGATGGGCTAGTGTGTAAATCAGTGAAATGTGCAACTTATACTGGGTGTGAACTTGTTGGTTGAATGAAGAAGTAGTGTAATTGAGAGTAAGCTCTGCTTTTGGACACAGTTGATGTGTTGGAAAATGTGGAAGAAATTCCAGTTACTCTTAAACATATGTGCATGTATTTTCCAGTTCTTCTGTATAAACAAATAGTAAGTATGTGGGCAGATCAGTGGCTTCCAGATCATGCAAATATATGGATTTTGGTGGAGCTGGGAAGGAAGATCGACAAAATTAATGCAGTGATGTTTCCTTTGCATGTAAATGGTGTTCTCACAGTACTGATAACAAATAACTTACATTGCAAGATTGCATTTGTCTTTAACATACTTCATATGAGTGAAAAAAATACAATCTCAAGAGCATGAAGTTTAGCCCTTGAGAGAGTTTTAGAGGAAACGGTTGAAGTAAGTATCTGTAAAAAAACCTGTAACTTAAACCTTAGCTGCATTGTGCTAAAGAGGTCTAGGCAGTCCTGTGCTGGAATTGCTGAAGGCAGTTACCTTCAAGTGATGCCCAAGCATATAACACAGTTGTGGAAGAGTCGATTATAATTTTTCAAATCATCGCTTAAGGAGAACAAGAATTCAACTAGAGAACAGCAAATGGACCAGTCGGAAAGAAAAGAGCCAGTTCTCCTGAGGAAACTGAACAGTGGTGTCCTAAACATAGTGATGAAAGCAATCATTGGTGAGAAATCAGAATGATGAATCAGAAATCGGAATCACCAATCAGAACAATGGCATCATATTTTTTCCGCTGGACTGTGTAGCTTGGATTTGGGGCGAAGTGATGTTACTGGTTTTATTTTTTTTTCTGATTGGGGTGTGTGTAAATTACAGGAGCTTGGACAGTGAAGCCATTCAGTCAGTCACTGAGTGGACTCTCTAATGCCTCGTGTTAAATTTACTGCTTTTCACAATGTTTCCTTCCAAAATCAAGTTAATCTTGATCTTTGATAAAATTCTTTGCTAGTGTTTTTTTCTCTTTTCTAGGTAAAGAAATTAAAAGCCTTTGATGGAGATGTATCAAAACTGTCTCAAGCTGATTCCTTCATGTATTTACTAATCCAGGTGCCAAAGTAAGGAGATAGTAGGTTTATTCTGTTCATGATAAATGTTCTTTTTTGGCTGTCAGTTCTAAACCTGTTTGTTTGTGTGCTCCAGCTATGCTCTTAGGATTGAAGCCATGGTGTTAGAGAGGGAGTTCTCACCCTCCTGTGCTTCTCTGCAGGATGACATGAAAATTATAAGACGGGCAACAAAAGGTAATTAAGCATGTTGGGACATGCGTAATGCTCTTGTTTTTGTAAGCATGTTAATTAGTCTGCATTATGAAGAGTAGAGCTTGAATTTCAGGTACCTTAGCTATTGAAAGGAAGCTAACTCTTCGCTGACAAATGCCATCAGGGTGTACCTGCTGAATCTTTGCTTCCAAAATCAAAAATCTGGAGACTTTGGACACACTAGCAATGGAGTTCATGACCAAAGCCTACAAGCAGTGTATCCGAAACTGACAGAAGCAAAGGTGTCCATGGCCAAATTAGGATAAATTGTCTTTGGAGTACAGTTTGCTTATCCATGCATTGCAGTCTCTCTGACTGAATGCAGTTGCTGCAGCTTTCTGCTCACTCTTTCAGAGAAGATCACTGTATATAGTTTCCAAATTTCTCCATATGCCATTGCCTTTTGAAGTGGCAGTATTGATGGGCTTAGATCTTTTATTGTAGAGACTTAATACTGTTGCTATTCCTTGGTTTTCTAGTTTTGTTCTCTGTTTCTCTTTTGTTCTCTGCATGTTCTCTACATTCCACAAGTTTTGAAATGGTGCAGCTGGTTATTTAGAAAGTAATGTGGTGTCTCCTACTCTGCAGGGAAATAGTTCATTTCCTGGTTTCATTTAAACATTAATGCTGACCTTTTCAAATGCCTTGAGTGCCTATTTGTCCTGTCCCTCAATATGAAATTCCCATTTCATGCTGGCTGTTCTTTTGACAGGCTACTAAAGCACTGTTTAGACTACTTCTAGTGGTACAAAAAGGCACAGTAGTAAAAACATTCAGCTGTGAGCGCCAGTGCCTAGGATAGTCATTTTTAGTGAAAGGAAAAGGAGAAAAGCCTGGTATGTTTTTCCCACCAGTGGGGATTGAACTGGGCCTTTTCGACTCAGAAAAATGTGCCTTAGCTTAGACTGAGGTCTGAGTTTGTCCTTATGTTGGGATCTCTTTCAAATCATTGTTCTTTGTGTTTCGAGCAACAGACATACGTGAGGGATTATGTTATGCATAAAAGCAGCCGCGCCCTATTGTCCTTCATGTCCTTCACCCAGGACATCTGTGAACTGATGAATTCATTCCCTCCAGAGGAGACGCTTTGGTCTCCGGCTCCTGCATCAGGCCAGTCATGCAAATCAGACAGACTGAGCTTCCCTGTTTTCAGTCCACTTGTGTCATGTGCTGTCCTTCCTTTGGTCTTTTCACTCCAGGGTTTGTTGATAGCCCGAAGTTGTTTAGGAATTATGTCTACTTTTCTATTCCCATCTCCTATGTTTCTTTCCTTGTAATTAAGCCGAGAGAATATTTACCTAAATTCTAGTGCTGATAATCACTAAGGGTTAGTTTAGGATGGTCTAAATAGCCCGATGGATTCTCATCCACCCTGCAAATGGATGTATCTAATAGTGATGCTGAGCAGGCTCTTACTATGCAAAGTCTTCAGATGTTGTCTTCTCCTCTTGGCCTTATGAAATTTGGTATTCTCTTTTGTACTCTCTCCTCTTTCTTCCTTACCTATACCTTGTTAAATCAAAGGTTCTATGTTGTTCTATGTTTTTAGGCTGCTAGTACTGAAATCCAAAGATACAAGGGCTGTCTGCTTCCAAAATGATAGCGTATTGTGTTGAGCAGTTAAATGCAGGGTAAATTATAGAATGTGAACTTTGAAGCACAATAGTTTTTAAATTTACACTGCAGTCAAAAGGATTCCACTTTTTATTATGCTCATCAGTGTAAAATAGAGTACCTTACATTAAAACGAGCTCATGTTATTTTTCTTGCCATATGAGAACTTGCAGATTTGGAGTTATTTGGTCTGCTGTGCCACTTATGTAATGCTAATTTGTTAACTCTTTACAGTTCTGAATTTCCGTATCTTATTTCTAAACTACTCCCTCCTGGTGACTTTTAAGCACATGTATTGTTTCATGTTCATATGTGGCTGGGTGAAAAGGTGTATGAATTCAGATAGAGCACTATTGTGCATTTTGCAAAAAAATGGAAACATGTACAAAACAGGGTTCTGTGATGGAAAAGCTTTAAAATGCAGTTTTACTCCGTGTGGCTCTTTGCATCACACTGAATATAACTCTGTGCTAAATCATCTTTGATGTGACTGAAGTAAAATAAATGCTGCTCTGAATTGGTGATCATACAGAAATAAAATGATGATTCATAGTGGGAGTGAGATAAGCAAGGAAAATTTAAACAGTGCCTGTTACCTTTTCAGGCCTGATGGCTAAGTGTCCCAAAAAAAGAATAATTGTTCAAAAGTCCAATCCTGACAGATGGCAAATGGATCCTGCAAGGTGCAGAACACTTGCCTCACATTGAAATTAGTAGGTGGTGAGGATACTTAACCACTTGCATGAAACACTTTGCACATTGCAGGATTAGTCCTCAAATGTTTCGTGAGCTACTGGGGGTTGCCTTGGAAATACTACACTCGCTAAGCTAAAGTCTGAACATATACTTGAGGTTTGTCAACTGTGGTCGTGGCTTTTTTGAATTATATAGTACCACTTTTTTCCCACGACCTTTTCAGTTTGTTTTAATTTCCTGTTAAAATAAAATTTTTCACCTTTAGAAGCTTGAGGTGAAGAGAGTTTGGTAACTGACTGTGTGTATTTCTAAACGAACAATTATTAGACAGCAATTTTCTTATTCCTTACAGAGTTAATGACTTGTGAGGAACTGCATTCCATATTGCACTTGGTCCTTCAGGCTGGGAATATTATGAATGCGGTAAGTGACATCCAAAATGGAGAAGACTGATTGACCAAACTTCCTTGTTAGTATTGCAGTCCATTGATGTCATGCCTCAGCTGTTTGCTCATTTCTTTTTAGGGAGGTTATGCTGGAAATGCTGTTGGATTTAAACTGTCATCACTGCTCAAGCTGGCGGACACAAAAGCAAACAAACCTGGGATGAGTCTGCTGCATTTTGTTGCTCTGGTATAGAAAAACTATTTGCTACAACTGCTACAAATGTAGAGCTAAAGATGTGGAAGGAGCCATGTGCCTCAGAAAAAGTAGCTTTTTCACAGCTTTGATCTTAATCTTCACCTTTCTTCTGCTGCCACAAAATTCACCAGTTTACCTATGGTCATCCTATGCAGAAACCTGTGGAAAACTTAAGGTTTTTGTATCATGTAAAAGCTTGCCTTCATCTAACTTCTTTATTGTAGCTTTTCTTTTATTGTCCTGAATTATTACACTGTGAAAGTGGCTTATTTTGATACATATTCTTTCAATCTTCCTCTTGATTCTTTTGAGTAGCATTTTTGGTAGATTTTGGGGTTTTTTTTCCTTCCTCAGTGACTGACATGTATTTTTAAAGCTGCTGCAGACTTTTTTCAGGTTATTTTCCTTACTTTGAAACTTCTTGGTTTTAGAAGGGAGAGAACTTCGATGCTTCCATATGTGACATTGGTTATCTACGTACAAACTGGCTTAACAGATTTCCAGTCAGCAAACAATGGGGTATTAATTGATGTTTGTGCAGGAAACATCATATCTGCTTCAACAATGGGCATCAGTAAATCGTTCTTTCCCTGACATTCCCTATTAATGCATGTGACTTGTGTTCACTGGCAGAAGCAGCTATTATTGTGCACTGCAAAACTGAAGCTGTTGTTTAAAGTTTCTAGTTCTGATCCCTGCCTTTCGTTAAGGGATGTCCACTGCTCAATTGTGCTAGGACTGAACAGGAAGAAAAACAGTGCTGGAGAGAAACCTTTAAGTGCCCTCCCAAAGGCTTTAGAACTGCTGGACTTAGGGATTTTGGCATGATGGTGGAATGTTAATGGATTGTGTGTGTTTTGGTTTTGTTCTGTTTGTTTCAGGAAGCCCAAAAGAAAGATGCTGCTCTTCTCAACTTTTCAGAAAAAATTAGGAATGTTCATGATGCTGCCAGGTAAGTCAAAAGAAAACAGAGAACTTACGGTTAGACTGTGACTTGGAATTTTCTTGTTTATGAAGCAATGAGGCTTATTCAGAGAAGTCTTGGCACAAAACCTGAGATCCTTACAAATGTTTACTATAGCTTTGAGGGCTTCATTTCCATTTGCTAGCAGAAGTATGCCTGCAATGTGCCTTCAGGTATGAGGTTTTTTATGACATGATTTCCATAGGTTTTTGGTAGTTTCGTCTCTGTCAAATACATGTGCATGTATGTTACTTATAAGAGACTGAATGAAAGCATGTTACTGTTTATCCTTAAACTGATTTTCATCTGTCTCTGAGCAGGCTACAATATTTTTCCAGGTCTAGTACCAGGTACAGCTACCGGACCTGGCTCCTGTTAGATGCTTTTTGATATTTCGCTTGCTTCTCCATTTCTGTCTTGAATGGAAAATCTGAAGGGTTTGGGACTCTGTATTGTTTTCGTCTTAAAGTCTCTAGCTGCATAATTTTAAACTGAAGCTGATTTGTACCTTGACGACTGTACTTGCTTTTGTGAGATAGTGTGATCTAAAGCCTAAAACTGGAAGCTAGCAATGCTGGAGTTCTATTCCCAGTTTTGCTACTTCCTTACTCTTGAGCTTTGGGCAATCTATTTACATTCTTTTCCCAGCTGTAAAATGGGTCCAATCTCTTAGATCTGATTCAGGGTTAAGTTGTGTCTGCAAAGGACTCTGAAATCTTCTGAGGAAAGGAGTGGCCATGGAGTTAATCAGAAATTTTTTGAGGGACCACCTGTGTGGCATTCTGCCATCCAACCCACACACCTTTTTGGGAGTCTGCCATGTGGCCTGCTGGGGAATGTAGCTTCCCTCGGCATCCAAGCCCCCTGGCAAACAGCAGGGGAACAGGCAAATCTGGTGATATTTTTTCTAACCACTTTGTTCTTTGATCGCATTTGTTAATGCTGAAAATCTTCTGTTGTAAGTCATGCTGAAATCTGTTCAGGGACTGCACTCTGTAGAGGAAAATGAAACAAACCGAAATGCATGTCTCACCATTGGGCATGAGGAAGATCTTTATTAGAGACAACTGTCATGTACAAGTTGCTCATAAGTCCTCCCATTTAGAGCATGTTAAAACAACTACCATTAAGTTCTTCATTTTCTATTGTCTACTTTTCTTGTAGGCCATCCTCTTCCTCCTTCACAGGCAGAAAAATATAGCCTGTGTCGTCTTCTGTTTTCCTTATTTGCAAAAGCACCCATGATAGTTACGTACAGTTGTTAATTTTTATCATTTTGGAAACTGTAGTGCCTCAATTCCTAGGCAAAGCTCAGTTCTCTTGTTAAGGAAGCACCATAGATTTAGAAGCATTTATCCTCAAAGTGACTGAGAGATTTGAGTGGGAGCTCCCATTGTATGGAACGTGAGTCTCCCAGGATAAAGCTTAGATTACATCAGATCGGATCTCTTTCCTGTGGAGTTATGTCTCCATGGGAGCAGCTCTGCTGCTGGTATGTGGTAGAAGGATGAAATGTTATAAGTGCTGGGTTGAGACTGTGTAGGCTGCATTGTTGTGACTGCTAAGAAGAACATAACATGCTATTTCATGATGCCAAATGCTACAAAAATCGGTAGTCCTGGCTGACAGTCCCTTGTGACCCCCTTTTTGTGCCAGCTACTGCAGCACTCAAACAGTCATGTAACCAGCTCTACCGAGCAAATGATCCATCTGGAAGCAAATTGGTTTTTTCCTTTTTCTAGGTTAATTTTCAGTATACAGATATGACTGGCCATCTAGAAAATGAGTGCTAGCACAGGCACCAGGGAGAGAAGAGGAACACCTGGTCAGAGGCAGGGCAGCCTTACCCTTTCTTGTGGTAAGGTTGGGTAGGACTGGCTGGAGTTAATCGTGAAACCACACCCCATGGGAATCTTTTCAGGTTGCAAATAAGAAGAAATGTGCTTATCTCTCTCTTAACTTTCAGTGTCTACTCTGGAAAGTTGTCCTGAACAGACAGGTCTTGTTTGATAACCAAGTTGCACCTCATGCTAAAAATCCATTTTTTAAAGCCTATTGTGGCTAACCTGTGGGCAACTCCTTCCTCCTTGATAAATGTTCTCTCTATATGCCATTTTTAGGTTATCCATTGATAATGTAGAAGCAGAACTCCACTCGCTGTCCTTAAAGACAAGATCTGTTAAAGACAGCATTCGGCGAGACCCAAAACTCTTTCACCAGATGGAAAGCTTTCTCCAGGTGTGTAGGATCTCTGTGTTAATGTGTTACTCAGCTCAATGTAATTTGTGTGGACGTGTTAATAAACAGAAGTGTTGTTTTAATATGTCTACCCTATCAGTTGTACAAAGGTGTTCCAACTACATGCTGTTTGTCCAGTAAGAGCGTTGGAAGGACTGTGTTTTTATAGGGAGGGATATTGAGTGTGCATTGCCTGCAGTTTGTTAGGCAAGTGTGTTTAATGTCTGTGAAATGACTGAGGAAGATCAGTGGTTAAAATATACGACAATTTGGATTGGTCTCTGGTTTTGACTTCACAGCTGCCCAAAATATATTCATAGATTCATAGATTTCTAGGTTGGAAAAGACCTTAGAGATCATCGAGTCCAACCATCCCTAATCCCCATTAAACCATATTCTCAAGTAGATCATCAACATATAGTATCTGTGTGTTATGTTAGACTAGGGCATGTCAGTTTTAGCTGAGGCTGTGCTGTGCATGTGAATCCTGATTGTTGGGTGACTGAAGAGATGTTGTTAGAAGCTGGAAGGTTAAGGGACTCTTTTCTCTACTAATGTACCCTTAGCATAAAGTATATTATTCTGAGCCATACCATTATTTCTGGGTGGGTTCTCTTTTTCTTTTTTAGTACTGCAGTGACTTTATAGACATGAACGTGCATAGCACTTAACTTTAAAGCAGAGCGCTTAACTTTGAAGCAAAGTTCTTGGTATTTTCTGAGTACGTGGTGATGCCTGGAGAAATATGTATTATACTTCAATTAAATGATTTTTCTGTTTCACGCTATAGATAATTATTTAAAGTAAGAAAGCAGGTGTTGATCTGGAACTTAACCCGCCCTGATTTTCAACTTGCAAATCTAGTTAATAGTCCCTGCAGTTTTTCAGGAGATGAGAAGTTGATGAAGAAACGGGCGTGTTAAGATTGAAATACCTGTCCTCATTCACTCTGAATTATTGGCTTTTGTCCATTGCACCCAGACTCTTTAATGTTATGTTCTAACATGTTTGGGATTTTTTTTAATTTAATAGCTGGTTTTATGTAACACTACAACCTTGTTTAGGCCACATTCCAAAAGAAATGTTGGGAAAAAAATCATTTCACAAATGCATACCTTACATAAACACTTCCGGTTTTTGTTTCTAAATTACAGGTGATAACCAAGCTGATTTAAGAGTCAGCTTTCATTATCTCATCCTCACCAATAAATTCCTGAAATATGTGGGAGGAACTAATTTTTTATCTATGCTTTTATCAATTGCCCACTTTATCTTCAGTCAAGCTTTTTATTGGATGGTGTTTTTGGGGGATTTTTTTGATTGGTTGTTTTTTTTAAGACTAACAAGTAAGATTTGTTCCTACCCTACTGGCATAATTTGCCAAGTAACTTTCTGACAGCAGGGTTGGCTTAAAGGGTCACCAGTGCCTCCAGCTGCTATTTCCACCCCAGCGCTGCAATAGCGAAAGTATTTAGGTGATCATGAGTTAGACAGTGTCAGAGTACAGATTTGTGTGAAAATTAACTTTTCTCCCCAAGTTACTTTGAGCTACATGTGGTCTCAGATCTGGGATTGTGCAAGGATGGGAGTGAATGGCTGGTGATGCAGATGGGAGAGACAGAGGGGCAACTGCTGAAAGTGATTTAGGCAGTTCTGCTGCTCAAAGTCTGACCACAGCCTTATTCGCTGTGGTAATCTTTTTCCACTAATCTGCTCCAACCCTATCTGTATAGCTCTACACTTATGATTCAAACTGCTGCTTTACGGAAATGTCTTCTGGAGGTCTTAAAATATAAAAATATACATATTTCCAGTGATTCCTTGCCTTTCTGGTATGAAAATCATCTTTATTGTGATCTAGGGTCAACTTAGGAAGCAGGTGATACTGTGATGTATGTCCATGAATTTATTCACATGGGTTTTGGGGTGAAAAGTGGGGAGAAGGAATTAATCCATTTATTCTTACTTGAAAGCTGCAGGCAGAATGGGAAAATAAGACATGTGGAGCTTCCAAGGGGCTCCCAGGTGGTCCATCAGTATCCTAGTATAGTTTTTGATTTTACTCATCTGAAAATTATAGATCTAAGTTTGTTCAAGGGCTTTTGAACTTTTGTCTGGTTTGTGTCGTAGTCATTAGAATTTACATTTTGGTTGATCCATTTTCCCTGACCTTCCTTACTGAAATGACATCTTTCCTTTTGTTAGTAGTTCTCCTTCAAAGTGTTAATTTGCTGGGCTCTGTAACAGCTCCTAGGTTGGAACATGAATTTCATAAGTTCCTAATATATACAAAACTTGTTGTGACTTTAATTTTTCTGTCTGGTTCATTCCATATATGTGTTTTGCTACAGTTTGCTGTAAGACATCTAAAGGAGCTTGAACACCAGAAACGAGAATTACAAAAGGAGGGAAATGCTCTCATTGACTTTTTCTGTGAAGACAAAGAAACTATGAAGTTGGATGAATGCTTCCAGATATTTAGGGACTTCTGCATAAGATTCGACAAGGCTGTTAAGGTAGGAGCACTGAATGAGATTTTCACACATTTGAAATAGATATTGACTTACATGAATTAAGTTGGGTTTTCTGTTTAAGGCACATTTTATATCTTGTGGTATTTGATATATTTGCTTGAATGGCTACAGCAAACTGCCCTCTTGTAGGCATTCCTTGCTGGAAGCCAGGTGGGAAGTGGTCACTCTGCCCAGCCCTATGTGCAGTCCTGCTGCTTTGCATCTTCTGCTGCCGGCGCACTGGGCGATTGAGATGATGTGTCAGGGTAGTCTACTGGGCTCCCTTCTCCCCTTTTGGTGAGGAGGCTGGTGGTTTCTAAGCTGAGCAGCAAGACAGATTGCACAGACTTCCTGACCAGTGCTCACCGTTCATACCTTGGACTGGTAGTGTTAGGTAACTGGAAAAGCCTTGAGATGCGGCACTCCATTACATGGGCAGACCAGCCTGAATCAGCACTGTCTCAGGCTCTGCACTGCCCTCCTTCACGTAACTAGACAACGCTTTGCCAAGTAAAGTAAGGTTTGTGTATTCCGCTTTGCTCTTTCTCATCCTTCTGTGGGTGAAAACTTAAGAAATGAAACAGGCCTACAGTACCAAGATACCTCATCCCCAGTGTGACCATTTGCAAAGTACCCTGAGTCAATCCCAAATAATTCAGGAAGTATACTAAGATGAAATAGCATTATTGGCATTGGTTACAGTTTTGGTTCAGCAAAGTCTGCTTGTTGTTACAAATATTTTTTAGGCCTTTATAAATAGCATGAATTAGATGGATCCACACATTTCTTTATTTTTCTGCTTTATGTAATCTACATTTGACAGCACTTTGTAGGAGAGCTTTAGTTCAGAAAAGAGAGCGCTCTTGATTTGTAGCAAGCAGACAGGGCGTTCAGCTAACATGCCTGTTGTACCATTAGCTTGCCTGACCTTCACTGCTCAAGACAGTGTGTAGTTATGCATGTGTGTGAATGTTATACAAATATATAAAATCAAAAGGTGGTAACTATTGCAGGTGTTTTAGTGAGAGGTGACTTCATGCATATATGTTCAATTATTTGGGCTTGGGGATTTAATTTATTAGTCACACATTACAAGTGGTTGTTGGATAGCTATTATTGTGAGGTCCAACAGGGATCTTCCTTCTTCTCTCTGTGGTAAGTAAGTACATTCTAAAAATGACAAATTAGTCTCTTATTTGCAAATACTGAGATTTGCTTACTAGGTATTTTGTGGGGATTAATCTCTGTTCCTACAAAATTAACAGAACAATTCAGAATAAAGATTGCAGTTCTGACAAATGAATGTGTGGACAGCACAGCCAGCAGTCTAAAATGATGCCTCATACCACAATGGCCATGTGCACATATTTCAAACGTTTAAACATTCTTTGCAATTTTTTAACATGTCTGTGTGTGCTTAAAATAGATTTTTCATTTGAATAAAATCTCCTGAAACATGTTTCGGGTGAGGTTAAAGCGTTCTGTCTCTAATATGGAATATGATAATAATATCTACAACTATTTTTAACCATTTCTCTTTACAATGGGATATTTAAAGTTGAGTTTTAGCATTTGGCAAGAATTCATTCGGTAATTCCATACCCATGAAAGAAAGCTCCCTGCCATAGACATTTTTCCTGAAATGCAAGATTTTTTCTTTTTCCTTTCTTAGCTGTTTCTGAGTTCTCTAGTGCATCTTATCTTCCAGAGCCCAGTGTAGTCTCAAATCCACTTTAAGAGGTGTAGATTAACCCATTCATCAAAAAGAGCTTCAGCATTAGGCTTTTGTTTACTGGAAGCTTTCAGGCGGCTTTTTCTAGTTGTGCAGCTCTTTTGTTGTCACAACAATGGGAAGTACAAACTAGACAGTGCTTCAGACAAATAAAGATGTGGGGGGTTTTTAAACGGTGTGTCATTGCTCAGAAAAGATTTAACAACATGCTGGAAAATTATGTACTTTTTCAATACTGTCAAGACTAGCCTCTCCTTTCTTTTGCTACAGTTGTAGTGGCTCTAGAAAACCAGGCTCTCCGTTTCAGAAGATAACCTGGAAAGTTCAACCAAAGGTTCAGCTAGATTAAATCTGAAACCTAGAGGTGACAGTAAAAATGTTGGTCTTCGCAGTAATCCACTGCTAATGATTTTAGTAAAAAGGTGCTGTTGTGTTGTCTTTCAAACACAAACTACCTCTTTCTATGGCTTCCTGAACCAAAACCCCTCCACCTAGCTGCCAAAATCTCCAGCCTGCCCTGGGCAACTTCTGTGCAACAGTTGCTAGTTTTTGAAGCCAAGAGTGAATACGAGATCCAAAACTAGAATGAGACATTCATTAATGGTCCTTGAGCGGTGTCAGTTGATGTCTAAGTAATGATCGTGAGGCATTGTGTGAACTTTCCTATGTGCTTTCATATGCAATTAAGTAATGTCTTTTCACAAAATTTGTGATTGGTAATGTTCAAGACAGAGGGAAGTAGCACCCCATAGAAACTGTGCTTGCTGAGGAACAATTGTAATAAGGGGTGATAGAATGAACGCATTGACTGTGCGCTCGTCAGGCAAGTTTGTCTTAAAATATGACTGTAATGATCAAGTAGAGATTTGCTCACCTGATAAAACTTCCAGCTTTAAACTTAGTGGAAACTTGAAGCTCTCCGTCTTACAGCAGGAACGCTTTGGCTGGACTTGACATCTACTTGGTTTTGATAGGTCACGCTCTTGGTCTCTGCAAGGACTTGTGCATCTTTTTCTTATGCTCACCAGACTGATGTGTTACTACCATCAGTTATGCAGGGAACTACTCTCCATAGGATTAATGGTTGCAGGCTGTGGTTGCCATGGTGATTTCATGAGGATGTATTGGGGCTTGTGGGGAGGGTGATAGCAGTGGGAGCTAACTTCAATGGGAAGAAATAAAGGGAAAAATAAAGGAGTTTGACTTGTCCTTATGCATAGAACACTGCCCTCTGAGACATATATTTATGCTTTTCCCCATCAGGAAAACAGGGAACGAGAAATCCAGGAGCTTCATAGTCTGCAAAGACGAAAGGAGCTGGAGGAGAAGCGTCGATCCTGGGCAGCTGGAGAGCTTGGGAGCTTTGGGCGGAGCAGCAGTGAAAATGATGTGGAGATGTTGGCTAAAAAAGGACTTGAAGAATTTCTTCCCTTCTTGCAGCAGAGACCTCAAAGCCCATCATACAGAAACCCCAGTTTCAGACGCTCTCGACTTTCCCTGGGGATTACTGCAGACAGGGAGCTGCAGAGTTTCCTGGAAGTCTCAAAGGATGAGGATCCAAACAAGTTTAACAGCCTTCCCCGTGCAAACACCCGACAAGCAAGACCCAACATAGCCTGGTCTGAATCCAAAGAAGCGAGAGATCTCAATTTAAATACTTTGCACTTACACCAACAGTCTGAAACCAAAGTGAAAAGTGGCAGCCTGCTGCAGGTGCCTCCGTCTCAGTCCAGTCACTTCGGTGGCTCAAGCGGTCCTGGTGCCTGTTACTCACAGAGAAGCACTGACTACAACATACATGCTTCCAGTGTGTCCTGCGAGGAGTCCACAGATATAAATGCTCTGGCCCTTGCAATTGAGGAGCGTGAACTTGTTAAAGGATTGCGTAAGTTTGATATTCAAGGAGCAAAGCCTGCAGAGGATACACCTCTAATATATTTAGAGGATGCTGGTGGAACGGACTTGGAAACTCTAGATGATCTAAGTTTTCATTCCCTTAGCACTGCTGATGACGACCTGCCTCCAGCTTGCAGAAGTTCCAGAGAGGCCCACGACCATAAAGCCAAGGCAGTGGGTTGCAAGAGTGAAGCTTCAGAGCCCAGCAGCAGCCCCATGTCTATGGATACAAGCATTTCGGGAAGTAGAGAAGATGGACCAATGTTCTACGTGTCAGATACAACAACTGATTGTTCTTTGACGTTGGACTCTGAAGAGGGAAATGATTTTAAATCAGCAGGCAAGGAAATAAGAAGTGAGGCTGGCAAAGCAACCTCCTCTGGGAGTGATGCTCAATACAGGGCTAGAACATTCTTGTCAAACCTGAATTCTGCTTCTGCCAAGGATCTGTCTCTTCACACTTTCACAAGTGATAAGGGTGATGCCGATAGCAAGCATACCCTTCCTAAAGAAAAGCCCATAAAAAATAAAGACCCAGCAGGACCAAAGAGAAACTCTCTAAAAGACAGATCTCCAAGCTCCTCAAAATCCAGTGGCACTCGCCCTAGCCACACCGCTCCTTCCAGGCCTGTAAGAACTTTGAATGCCTCTGAGAATGAAAGTATGAGGAAAGTGGTGCCTATTTCTCGGTCCAACAGAGCACCGAGCAGCATGAAAAAGCCGGAAGCCAAGCCGGCACTTCGTGAAGCTAGTACAGTGGAAAGTCGGCTGTCTCGTCGCAGCTCTGTCCGAGGCACAACAGACACGCTACCGAGAAGCCCTTACAGGCACAGCATGTCAGTAGAAGAGCCGAAGTTACAAAGGGGCACTGTCACCTCGAGCAGTGCTCATTTTGAGAGGGACAGAGTCTCTCTCAAAAAGCCAAGCTCTAAACCTGTTAGGGGTAATGTTAAATCAAAGGCAGACGAAATGAAGATATGTCGCTCCAGTGTAAAACCCCAGACCCCTACAGATGACACCAAGGTTGCCACAGTTAACATTCCCAAAACACCATCCGCTGTCCCAAACTTTGCGAGGAATACAGTGGCTTCTTCTTCAAAGCGTGCGAAAGTGGATCTATCCAGCTCGTCCAGACCTCCAACCATCACAAGGTCTGTGTCCCAGAGGCTGCCCAAAGTGAAGCCAGCAACGACCTCTGATGATCCGAGTCCAAAGGAGAACAGTGTGTGTACCTTAAAGAGAGCAAGTAGTGCCAGAGTTGTTGGAAGAAGTACCCCACAGGGAGAAGCTGTCAGCACTAAAGCAGAGCCTGCACCAAAGGAGCAGGGAACGGCGGAAAAGGCCTCTCTTAAACTGAAAGATGCAAACCGGACAACAATTGGTAAAATACTGAAGCCATTACTGAAATAAAGGAGAGGTTTTTTTGAATCTTGGAATGTGAACACTTGTTCAAGCACTGGACGTCTGTGTCGTGCAGTTCCTTAAAACAGTAATATTGCTGATAAGCAACATCATGTGCCGTTGGAAAAGGGCAAGTAGTTGTGTTCTGGTCTAAATCCTTTTTTATGAATTTGAATGTATTTGAAGCTACTGTGATGGAATACGAGCGTAACAGCAAATCTTTGCATATTTGTGATGCAGAAGGTCACCAAAAGCCAAAAACTTTACAGAAGTTAAACTACAAGGTGAAACGCTTTGTGACAGAAAACATGGATAGAGGCCAGTTTTTGTGTACATAAGATTCTCCCTAAGACTCAAGCCTTTGTGCTGGTTGGTTCCGTATTCAATGTCAGAGTGAATCCTGTGGAACAGTACTGAAAACGAACTTAGGTGATTGTGCTTTCCGTTACTTTCGGTTCCTCAGATTCAGGAGCTCTCTTTGCCTGTTGTGAAGTCCATTGCTGGCAATTGGACAGGCTGGGAACTGGCCAAAAAATAGTGAAACAAGACATTTGCTGTTTGTGGCTGTCTTTAACCTCACTGAAGAATTTATAGCATGTTTTATGAATGTGTATGTGTGTCTGGAGAAGGCTTCCTGCTGGGCAGGAGGCTTACTCTCCAAGAATGCGGCAGCATTGTCTTGCATGCACAAGTAGATACGGCTGGTGCTGCATCGTATAGCACGGCTGGCGGCTGTGCCTGTTGAAAGGGCCACCGAGTAACCATTGGGATGGTGACTACTCCTGACTTGTTTCGGTCACAAGCAAACTTGCCAGCTTTCGGTCATACAGAAGTGCCATATATTTATGATACATATCAAGGATGTTTGCAGTTCAACTCTTGAAGGCTGCGATGTAGTGCCGAGCACTTTCTTACCATTCCGTGTTTCCACTGGTTTATCTACTACCAAATTACTTGAATGTTGCAATGGCTCCGATTGAGCCATTAGTTTCCCTGCCGCCTCCTCCTCCTCCTCCTCCTCTCCTGTCAACATCAATATTTAGCATGAAACACAGAGCTTACGCATGACAATGTTTTTGTAGACTTCCTTGGTTGCTTTAGATGTGGTTTTTAATGCTTAAAGACTCTAAAGGATGAATTAAACTAGTATTTGATAAGCTTTTTACAAAATGAAAACACCTCTTTTTTCCTGCAGATACAAATTTTAACTCCTGTCAGACTAAGGTACAGAGAATGGGGGCAGACTTGTTCAGCATGCTGTGCATCTTCCTGAGAGAAATGTATGTAGGTGGGGAAACTGACCGCTGTTCTCCTAAGCATCTTATTTAAACAGTTGCCTTTTTATTCAATTATGAATGAAGCCTCATTTAAGAATAAAATCAAACAGAAAAGGAAAATCTCTTCGGACAAGTGGCATTGACTTACTGGTGGTAGATCTGTTTGTCTGCTCTGTCCCTCAGTGCTGGGAGCGCATAATTCAATGACAACGAGTCATTTAATTGCTCAGATGCTTCTCATGGGCTGGTATCAGGGGCAGCTAGCTTTGTGGTTTGAATTTGGCAAGGGGCCTTTAGCTCTTCCCACGTACCAGCAAATCTTGGTGCAGACATCATACCCAAACACCATAAAGTATTACGCAGGGCCTCTTGTTCGAGTCTGTCCTGTAGGGACAATTTATATAGCCCACTTTGCGGCAAGGGTGAATTTTTGCTTGAAACCCTGTAAGCTTTTTGGATACTGCCTCCCTTGTGGGTTCGATACAAAAGCATCTCCCTTCTTGTTTGTATCTGTGTGTATGTATGCACGTCGACTGTAAGCAGATGACTTACTTTTTTTTCCGTTTTTTTAAAAAAAAAAAAAAAAGAAAAACTTTTACCGGTAGCAAGCTTGAAAAATAATTTAAATGTGTTTGGAACATGTAAATTAATTTCTATAAATCTCTGTAAAAGAAAACTGAATGTATTTAATGGAACATTTATACATTTCGGAGTAACTCAGTAGTTTAATAAAGTTCCCATTTACTGGGTATGAAGTTTGTACTTTCTCTTTTCTGTTACGCTTTTGGCTTTGGTCCTGGAGATCTCAAGCAACTGGAGCCTGGGTGTAGGTGACTGTGGGAAAGTCTCAAAAGGAGGGACTTTACAGCAGAAAGCCTGTCATTTAAAAGGCTAGGTTTGGTTTTATACTAAGACACACAATTTAACTTCAGTTTCTGAATGTTCCTGAGGCAGGACTTTGTGCACAGGTTTGGGTATAATCTGGAAGGTATTAGATGGCAGATGCAGCACTTCGTGTACACATCGTATGTTGTGGCCAAGACAAATGTTCATGGCACTAACAAGTCTGGATCTGTCGCTATCTTCATGCCTTTTAGCTTAGCGCACTTTGTTGAGAAATCCTGGTTTACAACTCCCAGGACTTTGGAAGTAAAGAATAGCCTGTTTTGCAGGAGCAGGCAGTGACTTTTACACCGCAATTCTGAATTTTTACATTTCATCCCATTCTCCCATTATTTTTCCTTCTTTACTGCATACAAAAGAACATCTATTCAGCAGAAAAAAGCAAAAGCCAGCCAGCCTCTTTGTCCTCAGGGAGCACTTCCTCCCCTCTGCTATGGAAATGATTTTTGGACTGGAATTGCTGCTATTTGCAAACTTGTTTAGCCCCTGACTTTTCTTGTTTGGTGAGTGTGTCTCTCCCCGTTCGGAGTGGCAAGCACCTGCTGTCTGCCAGCGCTGAGTGATGGCTGCTGGTGGAATCTACGTGGGAAAAGCCCTTCACCATCAAAAGGTGTGTCTCAAAAGTTTCTGGTTTTTTAAACTTCATTTTTATTTCAAAAGGGTTTATAATTACCAATTCATTATTTAAACTACCAGCTGTCAGAGACAGCAATGCCCTGTAGGTTTAATTTCCCATGTCATGCAATATTCCCAAACACTAAGAGGCCATGGGGCTAGCCGGTTTGCAGTAGATTTTCAGGAAAGAACCGAGACCTTTTCTTCAGCTTTGTTCTGCCGAATGGCCGCTGCTTCTGACTGTGGCCAGGGGCTCGTCTGTCTCCTTTGGTGGCTGTTGAGGGTAGTGGTGAAGTGGAGGAGCCCAGGGGACCATGCGGGCACCTGGAGCTGTCGAGCTGGTGGAGATTGAGAGATAGGGGAAAGCGCTGTGGGAGGAAGAGGTGCTGATTCATACTTAGAGGAATTTAATATTCACATCTCATGTGGGAACTGCATACAAATGAGGGGCTCAGTGCATCCCTCATTACAACAGCTCATTAAATTATCAAGACAGACAGAAAGAGTTCCCATCACACCTCCCACATGGTACAAGTCTGGACTATGTAATTCAAAATAACCCATCGGTATCTTTCTAATCTTAGGATATGTCTGCGTGGACGGATGGAGACAGCCACGCGTTGGCTCTGACCAAACCAGACGCGAACCAGCTCCAAGCCGGAGGTGCGTGCGGCGCATTAGCTCGGCGCTGACCCGAGCTCGTGTACCGCGGCTGTAATTGCATACCCCTCCGCCGGGCTTGCTGCCTCCGGCTCGGAGCGTGCCGGCAGGGCCACGCCACCTGCGCAGCACTGCAGCAGAGCCCCGGCTGTCCGCGCCCAGGAAGACCTGCCCTCCGAAAACCGTTGCTGCTGCTGTGACACGTGAGAATGCAATCCCTGTGAGAGAGGCCCGGCTAAACACAGCTCCTTTCAGATTTGGCTGCTCAGTGTTTTCCATTAACTTGATACATGCTGTTTACATCCTACTGCCGCCAGTGCCAGAGATAACTGCCTTGGGAACAGCTCCCTGCAGGTATTGTTAACAGCTGCTGAAAACAAAGGAGTTTGTTTTAGCCACGTCACTATCCAAATAGCCAGAAAGACATTACTTTTTTATTACTAATAAGCCAATACGAAAAGTCTGTCTTGTTCTCCTGGCCGAAAGATGCATTCTGGAAATCTTGCATGGCTGAGCAAATATCCTTGCAACTGCAAAAGAAAGCGACGCTGAGGTGAAGGATGCGTGAAGGGTTCTTGTTACACGAAAGCATGTTTCTCTTCCCAATGTGTGATTGCCACCACCAGAGTCAACTACTTGCACTTAGAGAAAATTGTTTCCAGCCAACAGTTGTTCTTTGTCATATAGTTGTTTCTGTGTCTTTTCAGGCTGAAGGCTGAGATTGCAGGATATGCACTACCTCAGCTAGCAGCTTGCTCTGATTAAAAAAAAAAAAGAGAATAAAAGAAAAAAACTCACTACCCTCCAGCTGCCGATGTCCTTCCTTTTTGTACTGAACCACTGGGGTGCACGGAGGGGTCATCAGCATATTGACTTTAGTGATGGTGTTTAGGGTCAGGTTTGCAGTGGCCGTGCAAGTGCTCGGCAAGGGTGGCCTTGTCTGCAAGGAGGGGAGAGCTACACGCGTTTCTGAGAACATTTGCCCCATCTGAAGCAGAGGCTCTGGACAGGCTCCCTTTGATGTGTTCTCCTTTTGATCAGGTCTGAACAATAGCTCCTTTTTTATCCTATTCCATCCTTATTTATTGCGAAGAGAAGGAGAGAAAAAAAAAAAAAAACAAACTTTGATGCCTCCTCTTGGGTCAAGTGGAGGAAAGATACAAACTCTACCTACCTTTTTTTTTTTTTTTTTTTTTTTTTTTAAACAACAGGACTTTGATTGATAGAGCTGTTAGCTTCAAATAACTCTCTGCTGCACAGGGGCAGATGTTTTCAGTGGCTGCAGTGATCCAGCAGCAAAATAGGCATAAAAGCAAGAACTCTGTTTAGCTTCAGAGCACATTCAAATGACTGTTTCCTCTCTACTCTGAGATAAAAGTCCCAGCAACTGAATACAGACGATGTTCATTTGGACATCTAAAAGGAGCTGACTAGAAAATACTTGATTCCACTTCTAAATAATTGTTTACAATTATTTCCCATTACTTTTCCATTTCATTGTCATTGAAAGTAGCATTTTTACAGAGCAGTGAAGCAAGGCTGAGGGATGCAAAC